TATCTACTTCCACTGCTACCCTTTAAACAAAAAATTGAAAAAAAAAAGAGCTGAAGATGCCAAAAGACAATAAAATCCTTAAAAGACAAAAAAACCCTCTATTTTTTCAATTTAAAAAATTTATATTAAAAAAAAATAAAGTTACGCAACCTTACTCTTCTTCCTCTTCTCCCCCTCTCTCTCTAACTTTACTCTTCTTCTTCTTCTCTTCTCTCTCCTCCTAAAATTTTCTCCTCTCTCTCCTAAACTCTCACGATTTCAGCTCTCTCATTCTCTTTCAAAACTTCCAATCTTTTGCATTTTGTGCCGATTTCTCTCCAAAAAATCTATTTTCTGTTTAAATCTCCAATTCGATTCAAGATTCGAAGAAAAAAAACGACGAGAGTGAAGAACATGGCTTTAAAATCATCTCGTTACTCATCTTCATCACAATCTTCGACCGAAAATGAAAACCGTATGGAGATTGTAGGGCTAGACAAAAATATGGTAGGTTAAACTTCAATTTTTTTTTTCAGATTTGTTGGATTTTCAAATTTGTTGTTGTTGAATTGAAGTGTGATGTTGAGATTTGACCGATAGAAATTTAGGATTTTGGATTTTTCAAATTTTTGGGGATTTTGACATAAAATATTGGGTTTGAAGTGAATTAATCAATTGAGTCATATGGTCACAGGGTTACAGTGTCATATAAGTCACATTGTGGTATGGTCACATGATCACATCTTCATATAGATTACAGAATTACAGGTCATATGGTGGTATGGTCACAAAGTCATATTTTTATATACGTCACAGGGTCACAGGTCACATGGTACCATGTCACACGGTCACATGGTACCATATCAGACGGTCACATGGTACCATGTCACACGGTCACATGGTACCATGTCACACGGTCACATGGATTTTGAAACATGATCCAGAATGCTAACATATATTTTTTTGTAGCGCATTGAGGAGACAATTTATGAGATACGACTCTGCGTTTTATAGAATTCGGTGACTTATATAGGAAGTAATTACATGGTTAATGACACTATTTTCACGGAGCACATCAAGTGGTGGGAAAAATCGGGCGACTTGCCAATTTTGGGCGATCTCGGGCCCTACTTCAAAGGATATCTTCCATTTGGATATGTAGAAACATCGTTGACTAACTTTTATTTCAGCTAATAATTTATCTCTTTTTGTTATGAACATTAAGTATAACCTTCTTTTGTTTGTTTATTAGAATACTAAGTTATAATTTTTTTTATGCTTTTTGTTTATTTATATATGAAACTATTTATAGAGTCAACAGAATATAGGTTGAAAATAGTAAACAAATGGATCCCACCGAAACTCTAAATTGTCAACCGTAACTTTTCTACACACTTGGATGATACTAGACTCTACCTGAAATATTGCATGTAAAGATTTTGGAAGAAAAATTGTTAGAGAACAAAATTTGGATTTAAGTGTTTTAAACTCAAACTATTATCATGTTCACATGGTCACATGAGATCATATTGGTATGGTCACATGGTACCATATTCATATGGCCACATAATACCATGTTCACATGGTCACATAGTGTCATGGTGTCCTGATACCATGGTATCATGGTACCATCTATTTTCATGGAATTAAGAGTATACTAAAGAAGGAAGCGTCTGATGAAGTACTTCCTTTTTATTTGGAGGAATTGACATCATCGAGTTCATAACTTGAAAATTTGTTCGACAAAGTCTTCTAAGAAGAAGAAGAAGGGAAAAGTTCTAATAAATGAAGAAGATGGGCGAGCAAAAGAAGACGAAGAACAACAAGGACAAGAACAAGAAGGACAAGAAGAACAATAATTATATGTGATGACAATGTCACCAAGATGCGTGAGTAGTTGACAGCCGCCATATTTGTCAAATAGAAATGTTTAAAAGTAGAATTAAGAACTTATTTATGTTATGAACTTATTTCTTCTTGTTATGACATTTTGTTCGTTTATTATAAACCTATAGAATTTTATGTTATGATATTATGTTTTATGTTTATTTTATATTTGAATATATGAGGTGAAAAATATTGGAAGGTAAAAAATTTGGGTTGAAAAATTTTGGAGGGAAAAAAATGGGTAAAAAATATGGGTTGAAATGTTGTGTCCCACCAAAATTAGTGCTGAATTGTCAACCGTAACTTTTTTGCACACTTGGATTACACTGGACCCCACCAGAAATATTACATGTTCAAATTGGGACCCGCAATATTTCGGTCACAATGGGTCACAGTTGGTCACAAGGTCGATTTAGTGGATTCTTTCAAATGAATCGAACTGATTGTTATCACATCTTCCATATGCACCATTTTGAACTATATTTAACTATAGTAATTGAGTTATTCAAATTTTGTGTGTAAAAGTAGTTCTAAAAAATGTGATACATTAGTGTTCATAGTCTTTTATGAAGAATTTTGATAATTTTGATCTTTTTATGTTACAAACTCGTTTTACCGTTTTGTAATTTTGTCATCAACATAATATTTGGGTTCCTTATACCTTATAATAACATACCAAAGCTTGGAAATTACGTTTTTACCTGTATTTACCTTCGTCACTTGGTCACAGGTCACATCCGGTCACAATGGTCACATAGTGTAAAATTGACATTGGTCACATTGGTCACATGCTGGTCACATGGGACCCAACCACTACTTATATGAGATAATTTATTTACTGTTTTTTTATATGTAGAATGAAACCAAAGTATTATAATGTATTATTTTAACACAATATTATACAAAGATCTTAATGTTTTAGTGTACAGATATAATATAACATTATTATAGAATTTATATTTCTTTATTCATTCAAAATTAGGGTTTCACTGAAACTTTGTTGATGTTGATACTTCTGTTGTGACATGGATCCACTTTTGAACTTCAATAGGACCTGAAAAGCGGTTTTGTTTAGGTCTCTCACTTTTTTGTTTGTCTTCCAATTTCTTTGTACCATTCATAGCTACATTGGTCACATTGGTCACATGCTGGTCACATGGGACCCAACCACTACTTATATGAGATAATTTATTTACTGTTTTTTTATATGTAGAATGAAACCAAAGTATTATAATGTATTATTTTAACACAATATTATACAAAGATCTTAATGTTTTAGTGTACAGATATAATATAACATTATTATAGAATTTATATTTCTTTATTCATTCAAAATTAGGGTTTCACTGAAACTTTGTTGATGTTGATACTTCTGTTGTGACATGGATCCACTTTTGAATTTTAATAAGACCTGAAAAGCAGTTTTGTTTAGGTCTCTCACTTTTTTGTTTGTCTTCCAATTTCTTTGTACCATTCATAGCTTTGCTAGATTCTGATACGGGTTTGCAACTATGCATGAGATTGTATTTTCTTACACTCCAACGTTTCGAGTTTAAGATTAATGTCGTACGCAACTTCCAATTACAGCCGGATCCAGTAACTTCCAACACTCTTTGGTTTTTCATCACATTTCCTTCTCATTCATATTCTCCATTCTTTTTCATTATTCATTTACCATCATACAGAAAATATACAATTGTTGATCTATTATTTCGTCCGTCTATAATAGTTGTAGAAAACATAAATACAAAATGCATATCAATTCGACTAATCTGGACACGGTGACCATGTGACCATTATTACCATTTTTGACTATGTGACTATGTGATCAAATGAACATAGTATCATGTGATCATTATTACCATTCGACCATTTAGTTTAAATCCATGTGACCATTATTATCAATCCGACTATAATGGAGATCATGTGATCGTTTGATCATGTGAACCTGGTACCATGTGACCATATGAACATGGTACCATGTGACCATGCAATCTGGTACCATACGACCATGCGAACCTGATACCATGTGACCATGCGAATCTGAACAATGTGACTGTGTGACCATGTGACCGTGTGATCATGTGACTATGTGACCATGTGACCATGTGGCCTTGTGACCTTTATGACCCATGTAAACCATTATTCTAATGACTCGTGACCCCATGTGACTCGTAACCATGTCTATTGTGACACATATGATTGTTGTGACCCATGAACGATGTGTTTATGATGGTTTTTTGTGACCCATATGTCCATTTTAACCATTGTGCCAAATGACCTGTGAAGCCCGTGACTCAATAATACTCTAAAAACACCTAAATTATGACTATATATACTACAAATGACAGAACTTAGCAAACAACAAAAAATACATGAAAAAAAGTGTAAGAACCATCGATCTTCATTAAAAAAATTATGATTTTAATCGTAGTTTATCTATTTCTAAGTTTCTGTGTGATTTTACATAAATTTTGTTTTATTTTATCGGATTTTGAAGAGAAAAAATCCAATTTCAGAGGAGAGAGAAAGTAATGAGGAGAGAGAAAGCTTGGAGAGAGAAGCGGGAGAGAGAATCGATGAAGAGAGAAACCCTAAATTGTAGGAGAGATAATGTAGATTTTAATTAAAAAAATAAATATAAATTAATATTATAAGGGTATTTTAGTAAATGTATATTTGAGAGGGTATTTTAGAAGTAAGAATTTTTTTTTTGAACAAGGAAGATAGGTGTGGAAGTGCTTTTAACACATTAAGGGTAAAAGAGATAACGTCCCAGTTAAAAGATATGTATGAGAAGGAAAACACATATAAAAGACGAGAAAATTTTAGGGTATTTTAGAAAATAAAAATAAAACTAAAGGTACTTCGGATAATTTACAATATAAAGTACATTTCACAAATGTGAGAAGGAAAAAAAAAGCACAAATTGCCAAGATCTTGTTATTTTTTGCTCCTGCAGATTCCCTCAATTTTATATACCAAAACAGAAACGACCAAATCTAATTAATATCTTCCAAACAATCGAGTCGATTTGCAGAGCGTGGAATTTAAAAATATAATTTGATTACAGTCCACGAAAGCCAAGCATTTATTTAAAATTCCGCGTTCAGAAACATGGGAAAAAGACGAAATGGCCAAATCAACGAAACAAATGCAACTTATGTGCAGCAATCCATGTTGATCGTTCACAAATAATACGACAGAGACGATACATTTTCAACATCACAAAGAAACAACGCAAATGAATGGATCTTCACATGTAATAAGAGATTTGGATCCCGAACTTTTTCTTCCTTTCGTAATCTTTTCTTTATATGTACAGATACATTCATCGATGAAGCTCTTCTTCACTCGCTTTCGTAGTCTTCTTCGTCTCCGAACGAAAACACTGACGCATCAGCTGCCATTACCTTGAACTCGCTCTCCGCATTTGAAGCTTCGAGACCCGAGGTCTTCTCGGAAGCTTCACCATTGGTAGTAGAAGTCCCCTTTACCACCTGTGATCCCACGCTTTCCAAGATCGAGACTTTCTCGGTCTTTTTTGCTATATCAGCGACTTGATCCAAGCTTCCTTTGGGGTTTTTAGATGAAGTTTCGCTTGGACCAGTCACACCTAATTGTGGTTTTCTGTGTTTCGAAGAACCTGAATCCTCAACCTCGCTATCCGAGAATACATCATCTTTATCAGGGTTCTCGGTTTCTTTCTTTGGTTCTTGACCCGTTACAATGTTCTCAGCCGAGGGAAAATGAGATGAAGAAGGTTCCTTGGGTGTCTCGGTTTCTGATTGCGAACTCGGGGTCACGGGAATAGTAGAGCTTATATCAGCAAGAACAACTTCGACCTGAAATCCAGGCGAAGACAGTTTCCTCTGCATGTAATAGAACACCAACCAAACACGATAAATGAGAAAGATTCAAACAAAAAATCGAGGTAAAGAGCGAGCATTGAAACCCGGGTGTATACACAGTATTTTACCTTGTCAAACCCATCGAGGTCACCAGTGTTCAGAATCTTTCGGTTTTCCATCATTGTCGTGTTTAGCCAGCTGAGATTTGAACCCACACAACATAAGGGTTTTAATAAGAGAACCTGAAAATGGAGGCTATCGGATTAATGCCACATTAGATTACAAACCAGTAAAAATCTCCTTGACGGTCATGAAAATGGATTTTGAAGTCCCCGGCTAACTCTGTCAAACCAGGCTCTCCAGGTAGGGCAAAGACCATGACCCCTTTCTTGGGTGCAGTGAACCAAAAGTCTTCCGGCTGCATTACCACGAAAATCCTGTAAATGACATGTTTTCACAAAACCGGAAAAGTATAAAAATGATAACAATGAACTACCGAGAGATCCTTCGTCCTCGGATGTTTTTTTGTGGAGAAGAGAACACCTGCATATAAGTTATGTGTATGTATCAGTGAATCATTACACAAAACATGACTGGCTAGGTTTCGAGCGTTTTATCCACTCGTAACATTGTCACGTTGTTCTGATATCCAAAACATGACTGAAAAAACAGGTTCCAGTATCGCAGCCATGAATGCATCGTAAGCATTTTACGGTTGGGAATTTTTAAATTCCAAACAACCCCCAATCCAGCTCCGCCTAAGACATGAGCTCGATATTATTTACCTGATCCCAATGCCAGATAAAAGAAGAGGATTTTGTAGTAGGTGGCAACGCGCAACCAACGAAACAAAAATTATGTCATAACTTACATGCAATTAATTAAAATGATATAAATATTGGGATGTCTTATACTTATGACACGCTATATCGGAACATAGATGGAGTGAAAAATAGGCAAGGGCGTAAGACGTCCCCGATTGAAATGTGCCATATCGGCGCCCCAGTATGGTGTTAAATAGGTAAGGACCACATGGCGGAGTGGACAACTGTGGGTAAAGAAACTAGTCCAAATTTCTGATGGCACTATAAGTTCAGGTGGGATAGACAATAAACAGATATATGAAGATTGGTAAGAAACTTCGGTGGAATGGAGGGTTAGGATAGACCTAGACTTACTTGAAAGCGAGTCATTAGTAATGACTTGAAGTTGCTACAAATTTCAGAAGATTTAACTCAAAACCGAAATGAGTGAAAATAAAGCATTTACTTGTTGTAAACAATCAACGATCCAAAAGAGGGTCGTGGCATCCATTCAAACCAGATATTAATACCATTCGTTAAAACAAGAAACCACTATCCAAATTCTAAGATGATTCTTGACAACATATACATGCAGGAAATGATTTTGTAAAACAAAACACAAGACAAAGTAGATAGTTGTGCATGTAGTCTACTATCGGTTTTCGATAACAACAATCCACCAACTCACCGTTATGATCTGAAACAGTGATGGATGGTCTGATCCAATAAGGACACCTGTGGAGCCGAAAACCCCTAAGCATACACCTGAAAAACAGGTAGTTGATGGTATTGTCAACATCAATACACAATTACATCTTAGATTGAGATATGTAACTGCAACTTACCTACGACCCGGTTGGTTTTCCCCATTGAAGTATGTCAAAATTCGTTCAAAGTATTTCACATATCTCTAAACATGATTCAACAGATTTACTGGTTAGCACTTGGCATAAACAAAATAATTCGAATAACTTTCTTTTTTGTTAATGGTACTGTCAAGTAACAAGCAAAACAGACTCACAATTTGGCTAGGTAGTACAAGCCCTTTACCATCCACACATCGTTTTTGGTTGTAGAAGTCCATGCATTCTTCTGCTGTTGGAAAAAACTAGAAACGACAAGATAAACAAATTCCTAATTGAAATTCCCTACCAAAAGACATGGTGTTTGGCAATGTCATGATGAATATCTAACCTTCAGATATAGTAGAAGGCTAGAGATCATAAGCCCCGTCCTTGCCATGCCAGCCTTACAGTGCACAACCACAACATTCTCTATGTCCTCTTTCAACCATGAATAAGCGCTTTGGCAGAATGACGTAATCAATTGAATTGGTGGGCAATTATGATCATCAAATGGGAAACTAGCCACCTGAAGGCAAAATATTTGAAGTCCTTAAACTATATTTTGATATTCTTTAAGGATAAAAACAGGACAACAAAGTGTCTGCAATTGTAGCCCACCACTATGTGAACAATGTCAACAGTCTAGTAAAAATCATGTGGCAGAGAAGAAAGCACCAGTTTAGTTGTTTCTAAATAAAATTTGCTCCATGAATCCACGATGTTACAGGACTTCTGACATTAAGCATGAAGTCAAGAAAACTATGGGGTGTTGTCCGTGGGGAATGAACAAGACAGGATATTTCCAAAAAATTGGGGCTGCTCAGTATGAGGAGCTATGTTGTGGTCATTTTTAATTTTAGTGTTTCTTCTAGATTAAAATGCAAAGAACAAGAGAAGCAAAAGGAAATAGGATGACAGACCTTCCCTTCAAGTAATGATACATCATACAGCCTCTCAGAACAAAGATTGTAAACCTTGTATTTTCCCTACAGAAG